ATATATATATATATATATATATATTACTATATATTACTTATATATTACTTTATAAATCATATAGTGATATCATAAAAAATATTTATATAAACATTAATTTCAAATAGTAACATTTTACTTGTCATTTAAATTATAAAATATATATAAAAACATATATAAAAATGCAGCAATATATATATATACCATCTGTTCTTCAAACATATCAAATATTATTCATCAAAAATGACGATTTGACAATTCGCAAATCGCGAGCAGAGTTACTGAAAAATTCTCTATGCCAATTGTTGACCTATACGTACTGACGTATTGGCCTATTGACGTCATGAAGATACTGACGTACTATGTAGTACTACGAAATAGCAAGTAGATGGTATCGCATTTTCGTGTCAAGCAACTCATCCAGTCTCAATTATTCCCACTCTATCCTATTACATAAGTATTTCTATGATGTCACATATAGGTTGGCATCAGAATTTTCTGGTAATCCTAGTTATAAGCGTGAATTGTATCATGAAATTGAATTGTGGCTTTGTGAGAAATTGAATACATATATATAGGATAACAAATAAAATATACATATGTACGTAAAATGATGATTGATGGTTAATAAAAAAATTAATTGATTTTTGATGAAGTTTTATGCCACCCTTTTTAATGCGTTTCGCATTAATGTAATGCCATTATATTTCTTCAAAAGGATTGGATAAAAATTCAACATGATTCAAAATTCACAAAAATCCTTAAAAATGAAGAACTGTATACAAATAAAATGCATATATAAAATTAAATAAAAAAAATGTATCCAATAATATTATATTTATTATATATAATGTTATTATTATATTTTTAATTTATCTTTTTATTATTATTTTATAATGAAAGATATTTCAATATTATAATGAAAGATTACATTTTAAAGTAAAATATTTATTCTATTCTATGTATATTTTATATCAATTTTAAAATTTATAAGAATTAGATTCAAAAATAAAATTATTAATCTTATTATCTCACAATTAATTATTTTAGATTTTTGTAAAAATATAATTGTATTTTTATTTAAAAAAAGATTGATATGAATAAAATAATTTATATGTAAGATACAAGATAGAAATTATAGAAAAAATGATATAAAGAATATATATAAATTATTATTCGTAGAAATTATATCATAATAATATTAATAATAATATTATTAAAGATTTTAACTTATTATTTTTTAATTGCTCAAAAGTATATTTCATTTACAATACATATCTAAAGTTAATCTTTTAAATTCTTTTTAGATGTATAAAGTAATAATTTACTTCACATATAAAAATTGATTTGGCACAATTTGATTTTAATTTTATTATTATAATTTATATAATTTATCAAGCAATTTAATGCAATTATAAATTATAAATATATTATTCTAAAATGAATTACCTAAAACTAGAATCTAAAATATTTTCTTTGCTTGCAAGAATTTAAAAAATAAAAGGAGAAAAGTTACAAAAGACAAATATTGCAACAAATATTTTATTTTTGAAATCATATTTTCTAAAATTTTAAAATTATTCAAATTTTTTTAAATAGTATGGTATATTTTTAATGTAATATTAATTAGTAGTTAATTAAAAAAAAATTCATGAATAACATATTGATCTTTGAATCAATTTTAAAATTTTTTGTGGAACAAAATTTAATTAAAATATTATTTATAAATATATTAATAAAATTACTTATATTACTATTAAATCTTTCAAATATAAATTCATATATATCTTTCATTTGCAACAAAAATTCTGAAATTTCAAGTAATGCAGTTCATTTCATTAGAATCATATTAATTTACAAGTTAAAAATAAGATTGATGTCACTATCAATGAATGAATAATGAAAATCAGTAGAAAGAATTGTATTTATAATGTTTATAAATAAAATGATTATCGCTACAACATTTAGCACTGATACTGTTATTGACTTCATTTATCTTTGAATTTATTTACTTTTTTTAAATTTGCAATATAATTATATTAATCAATATACCATACCAAATATACCATTTCATTCAAAAAAATTTAGATTTAAAATCTCGAAATATATGATTTTAAAAATAAAATCTATGTTATAATATTTATCTTTGAAGTAAATATTTTTTTCTTTATACATTTTTTGTACATTTTTACTACAAACAACTATTTTAGTTTCTAGTCTTTGGCGACTCAGCTTATATGTACGAAAATCAGTATATATGGTATCCTACAGGTTCGCTACACTTAAATATCGAATACTTTATTCTACGCAAATTACTAACATATATAACATTTAAAATATACAATTAAAAATTTTGCAATATTTAATTAAATTTAAAAACTATAACGTCATATTTTTTAAGCTAAAAACATTTTACTTTTGTTTCTTATGTATCATTTATATAACAATGATACTTATCAACATCTTAGGAAAAATCTAATACAGTGATTCTAATCAAATCTAATACATAATGTACAGAAATTTAAATATTCTTAGTTCATTTAAATAGCTTGAAATAATTTCAAATGCTTTACGATAAAAACGTGAAAGTTAATATTAAAACACATTCAGTCTCTTAAATTCCATTCATCATAATTACATTATTTCAATATATTTAGTCATCACATATTTCTAAATTTACTGCAATTACTAAAATTGATTATTAACTATTCTTATATGCTATTAATACGCTCGTAAAAGAGAAGATATGGTGTGGCACATAAAACCTCAATTAAGGATATACTCTCAACTACATTATCTGAAGTATACAGCCATTGATTCATTTTATTTCCTCGTCGATAGCAAACAAAATGTCCAGAATCAACAGGTCCACGATGTTCTACGATTGCACGTAATTGATATTTATGTTTATCTTGTATAGTTGTTCGACTAAGTAACATTGTTGCTTCGGGATCACCCTGTTAATTCATATTTCATATTAAATTTCTAATAAATAAAATTACAATATATATTAACATGCATATAATACCTGTGCATTTCGCTTTTTAGTTTCTGTAAAAGTATAAGGATCTAAAGTTAATATTTCGGGAAATTTTACTGGATCATCTCTTTTAATTGGTATTCCTGAAGAGCTCCATGTGGTTCTTGATATATGTAAACATAAACATTTAGGAAGTTTTCCTAGAGTTAGAGTTTTAGTAGCTAAACAACGCATTCCACATCCATCGCATAATACATCTTGAACAATCTCACTAGTTACAAAACGTGTTAGTAATTCTTCCACTGTATGATATGATTTTATATATGTACCCAAAGGTGGCAAGGGTAAAGAAATTGTTTCTAGTTTGTCATAATGAACTGCAGACTATAAAAAATAATCTTATTTGTCTTTTATAATTATAATTATGGAATAAAATAATATAATATAAAAAATAAAGATATAATTAAAATAAAAAGTTAACCTTCCATTTACAGCAGCTGCATTGTAATTGACTAGTTAATGAACCTGAAAATGGATGGACTTCTACTGATATTGTAGTATTAGAAAATGACATAGCACATAAAGAACTCCATGGTTTAAAAGATTCCTTATTTCCTTCAAATTTAACATTTCTTGAAAGCAATTCTGAAGACCTAGCAAGGATTATACCTGGCTTGTTATATGCCATAGGAATACTTGATATGGATGTCGTTGAAGATATTACATGATTGTTGCAATTTTTATCAAAACCATTTGGAATGTTAGGATTTTTATTAACTGATACAATATCATTACAAGATACACTTCTAAATGTTAAAGGATCACCCAATTTTTTTGTATCTGTTATCATTATTGGACTTTGTGGTAAAGCATCAGACAAACAACCTTTCTGAAATAATTATTATAAATATATTTAATTTGTCATTTATTTTATTAAAAATAAATTTATTTAAAAATATTACTTAAAATTCAATATTATAATATAGCAATATAATAATATGACTTGTATATAATAATATGACTTTAATATAATTTATTATATTTTGAATTCATTAACTTTTAATTTGCAAACATACCCTACTTCCAGATTGAATTTCTGCTTGTAGTGCATTAAGAACTATATGAAATAATTCATGTACATCTTGATGTCCAGGTGCAAATTTCCATTGATTGCCAAGAGACGAAATGATCTCAATTGGTGTCACATCACCATATAAATCTTCTGCATATCCATTGATTTCTAATTCAAAAAATGTATATATTATTCATTTGCAAATACTAATTATATTAATTTTTTAAAAATATATCATATATACATATTATCTAAATTACTAAATTTTTAAATTAAATTAAAAAATAAAATTTTTACATTATAACTTATTTTTTA